TTATACAATTTCAAGTTCAAGTAAACCGGATATAAAATCTTCTAGAAATTTCACAACAATAATAGATATCAACTTAAGTGCAACAACAACTGAAAGCAAGTACAGCCTCTTAGGGCAACAGTTACTCAACTCATCTCAACAGCTCAATCACTCGGCTCTCAGCCCTCAGTACTCACACTCAATAGGTACTTGCGCTCACTGGGGGTGTGTAGACTCCGGAGGGGCTCCTACAGCCCAAGCGCTATAATCCGCACGGAGAACTCAGAAAGCATATAAATCAGGCCAAACAGAGATAATAACATGTATCAACAAAGGACAAGAAGGGATGGAGGTGCGATATGCAATTAAAATCATGACTGAGTACAAGATAGCAAATAGCAGCTAAATAAACAAGTGCACGACCTCTAGGGGTCTCAACAATGATGTCATGTAGCCTAAGCGTGATTTCTAGCATGGAATTCAGTCCAATTTCTATAACACTGAGAGAAACATATAGCTAATAACAAGTTATTCCAATTTACGATTCCACGGGACGGACCAAGTTACAATTCCCACGGTGCACGCCCACACGCCCGTCACCTAGCATAGCATGTGCGTCACCTCCACAATAGTCACATAGCACAACATCCGGAGTTTCATACCCTTAGGACCATATTTAAAACTGTTACCTACCTCAATCCGACTAAAACTATACTTCAAAATGTCTTTGCCTCATGAGTCGGCCTCCGAATGTCCCGAATCTAGCCACAACTAGTACAATACAATTAATATAGGCTAAAGGGATAAATTCCACAAGAAAACTACTAAATTAGAGCCAAAAATCTGAAATTGGCTTCGCACCTGCGGCTAGACCCCTCGCAGGTGCAATTACACCAGCAACAGACCATCTTCAGCAATTCTTCAAACATCCAACTTGATCCTTTAACCACCTGAAACACACCCGAGCCCCCCGGGACCTCAACCAATCATACCAACAAGTCATATAACCCAATACAAACTTAGTCGAACCCTCAAACCACCTCAAATAACATTAAAAACACAGATTACATTCGAATTCAAGCCTAATGAACTTCTAAACTTCCAAATTCTACAAACGACGTCGAAACCTATGAAATCACGTCCGATTGACCTCAAATTTTGCACACAAGTCATAAATGACACTTCGAATCTACTCCAACTTCCGAAAATCCAATCGAACCCTGATATCAAAATTTCTACTGCCGGTCAAGTTCGCCAAATTCCAACTTTCGCCAATTCAAGCCTAATTCTACTACGAACTTCCAAATCACATTCCGGATGCGCTCCTAAGTCCAAAATCACCTAAAGGAGCTAACAGAACTATCAAAATTCAAACCCGAGGTCGTTTACACATAAGTCAACATGCAGTCGACTTTTTCCAACTTAAACTTCTAATTAAGAGACTAAGTATCTCAGTTCACTCCAAAATTACTCCGGACCCGAACCAACTAACCCGGTAAGTCATAATATAGTTGTGGAACACAAAGAAGCAGGAAATGGGGAAACATGGCTGCAACTCTCAAAACGACCTGCTGGGTCGTTACACCATATAAGTCCATTGACTAAGCCTTAATTACATCATTGCGATTCATAGTTATATTGACCGTCTATATAGTAGCCAATATATAATTCAATTAATTAAGGTCAAACGTATCGGCCACTAGTTATTCATAGCAACCATATAAGTCCATTGACTAAGATTGTAGTCATATAACCTATGTTAGTACATCATTGCGATTCATAGTTATATTAACCATCTATATAATAGCCAATATATAATTTCATTCATTAAGGTCATACGTATCAGCCATTAGTTATTCATAGCAAGCATATACGTCCGTTGACTAAGGTTGTAGTCATATAACCTATGTTAATTACATCGTTGCGACTCATAGTTATATTAACCGTCTAAGAACTAGCCAATATATAATTCAATTCATTAAGGTCATACGTATCAGCCACTAGTTATTCATAGCAACCATATAAGTCCATTGACTAAGATTGTAGTCATATAACCTATGTTAATTACATCATTGCGATTCATAGTTATATTAACCATCTATATAATAGCCAATATATAATTTCATTCGTTAAGGTCATACGTATCGGCCATTAGTTATTCATAGCAACTATATAAGTCCATTAACTAAGGTTTTATTCATATGTCCTATGCTAATTACATCGTTGTGATTCATAGTTATATTGACCGTTTATATAATAGCCAATATATAATTTCATCCATTAAAGTCATACATATCGGCCACTAGTTATTCATAGCTACCATATAAGTCCATTGACTAAGGTTGTAGTCATATAACCTATGTTAATTACATCGTTGTGATTCATAGTTATATTGACCGTTTATATAATAGCCAATATATAATTTCATTTATTAAGTTCATACGTATCGACTACTAGTTATTCTCTGCAATAAAATTCTTAGCCAATATTTTACAATATTATTGTAGAATCTTAGTATACTACATTTTATTGGTTAATCTTAATTATAATAAAAGGTAAAACATGATTAAATTTTAGGACTAAGATGAATTCTAGCTTCTTTTATTTAAAGGGAAACATGATTAAACTTTTTGACTAAAATGTCAAATAAAATTTTTGGAGGAAACAAAGGGAAAATTAAAAATACGATTGGAGAGATATTAAAAGTTTTTGATTCTTTATATATATATATCCTAAACATAAGTTAACCTACATTTCCTACTCTACAAACAAAAGACATACTCTAAACATGAATGCTAACGGATGGATTGAAGATAATTTTTATCCATGGTTTAGGACGAACCTATCCAGATCGTACATTAAGCAGCTCTGGTAAATTCACTTTTTTTTATTTTTTTAGTTTACATGATATGATTTTTTACATTATCTTTCCATTATGATTGTGCACTTTCTTCCAAAGAGTATTTGTGACTATCTTCCTCATAGTTCGATTATAATAATAGTTCGATGTAATGGGAATGAGTAGACCGTGACTCTAACGGGTGTTGTTCGAAGAAGACACGTTAAGGGGTGGAAATAATTTGTTGTCGACAACAATCTGAAGAATGGGAGTGTTCTTCTTTTTGAACTGGTTAAGGCTATATCAAGGGCTGTGATATTCGTCGTTGAATTGCAAGGAACATCTAATGCTTAGCTTTTTCGATTTTTTCATTAAGGTCGTGTTGTGACCGTGTTCTACCCTTTTCATTGAAATGTATATGGATTAATATGACTTTCTTATAATATTGTCTATGATTTTTCCTTGTATTATTGTTATACTTATTTATTTTAAGAAGACTGGAAAATTGTTTATGATTTTTCCTTGTTGTACTTTTTCCATGTTTATGGAAATTATTTTATACATTTAGTATAAGGAAAAATGACTAAACTTAAACTACTAGGAAGAAGACTGGAAATTACAAGTACTCCTCTTCTTTTGGATATAATAGAACCCAAAACAAGACTGGTAACCTTTAAAAAAATTCTTGAAAAACGAAATTAATTTGGTCATAGAAAATTGAAAAAGTCTACACGAATAACAAAAAATGGTATTAATTAGTGATTCAAAGTTTTAGAGACTGAAATATTAAATATAATTCAACCACCTAGACTCTTCGGATGAAAACGAACTAATAAGGGAAAGAAAAATTTCGGAAAAAAATAATACTGCAGCGAGGTATCGAACCTTGGCAGCATATGTAAGGGAAAGAACTTAGAGAGTTGATCAACTAGAGCGTCTATTGGCATTTCTGGTTTAAATTAATATTACAAATACTTTAATAACTTTATTATTGAGTTGATAAAAAAAGAGAATGTCGCTACTTGTTTCGAACCCAGGAAGCAAAGGTTGAGGGAAAGACTTAGCAAATGCTTTCTTCATCGCAAAGGTTAAATATTATGAAATTCAAGATCGTTTCTTCATCGCTAATAACTTCTTAATCGTCATTGCTACATTAAGATCGTGCATCATTTTAGAGTTCAACACGACAAAATATTTGGCATCGAGCAAATGTTTTCTGCACTCTCTTTGTTAGAACAATTTTGTTTTGTTTCAAGTATTGAAGTTAAAATACAACGTAACTAATCCAAAGCCATGGGGAAAGATAGCAACAATTATGCAGTAGCTAATACGATATCCACAACACATAAACGTTGGTTAAAACAAACTAAGCAATGCATAAGTTTCATAAATCATCAAACAAAAAAGTTTATGCAAAACAAGCAAAATTTCTTCAAAAACAAAAAGTCCCGAACCAAATAAAATAACAATGCAATTAGGCCTATTGAGAACTCCAAGTTTCAGCAATATTCTTTATCAAATATTACAGTTCCAAGTCTGGTTCGGCACTGAGATCAAACAAGCTTGATTGCGATTGTGTAGCGTCAATTTGCTGCAATTAAAATCAAACAAACACTATAAGAAAAAATGATATGTTTAAGTAATAAATCAAATATAGTTGCAAAATTATACCTCATTCCCACCTACGGAACCATCATGCTCATTACCCCTACCCCTACGTCCACCACTTCTACCGCCACCTCTACCACCAAATTGCCACCACTCCTGCCACCACTCCTGCCACCCCCTCTAACACAAGTTCTTCCGCCATTACTAGCTCCAGTACACCACGCAGCTGTGAACTTGTAAAGTAGTATTCAGTTCTTCCTCTATATCTATTCAAACTCGGCATGCCACGTGAACGAGTGTACTGGGGATATCGTAGAGTTGTGCCTTCAGTTTCACCTGAGTCATCCTGGTCGGGGTTTGACACGATCATTTTGTTGTCCCAGTTTTGAAGATCATGCACCATCATCTTCAAATTATGCTTAACATATTGAACCTTCACGCTGGTGCCCAGTGCTATATCATAAGCCATGTCAAAATACTTCAACATGCTCCTGTATGTCTTGTACTCAGGAGTCATGTTTGGGTAGCCAAATTGATGGAACCGAATCAAGTGTGGCGGAATAACATCGCTTCTCTACCTTGTTAGTATATACCTTCCGCCAATTTTATCAATCTTCTTGTGTGACAAGATCTTGAGTATATGGCAACAAAGTATCCCTCTAGACTCGAACCATTTGCAGCTGCAACTAAAATAATCACTGATAGGTGTATATTCAACAATGTACTTTACTGGATTTCCACCATTTTTTGGTACAACTGAATAATCATTAACGATGAATTTCTCAACACTAGGGACAAATTGATGATCATCGGGGCTGCTGACTTCATAATGATAAAATTTCCTTAGCCGTGTCTTGAAAAATTCATACACTGTACGCGTATAACACTGAATTACCTGCTCCTCCCACTTGAACAATGACTCACACACAATTTGAAAGCCCTTTGACCTGTATTCTGCTTCCAACTCTTTTTCATGCTTAGCTCTTATAGCTAACTCATATTGGTGAACAAACATACTAAGAGTGCTTTGACGGGTAATATATCCACCAAAGAATGCATGCATCTCCTTACTTCTTTGCGTAGATAGCATACCATCCCAAAAATATACATCAAGGTACACAACAATCCATTTTTCCTTCTCGGAGTAAAGCTTGTTGAACCAATTCCTTGTATGCAAATTATAATTTGCAATATATTCTGTCCATTTTCTCTCAAAAACTTCAACAGTAATGCTATCAAGGACCATGGATTCAAATTCTCCATGTGCAATTTTAGAAGGACGGACACCACTTAAGTATAGAAGCAACTTTGAAAAAATATGCTAAATACAATACCTATGTATTGTATGTGGCATCACTTCAGCAATGACTGGCTTAATGCTCGGACACTGGTCAGTTATGATAGCATCTGGATGAATATTTCCATGGCCTCAAGCCAAGTTCTAAAAATTAATTTGTAACTATAGATATAACTAGGTATTTTGACGTATTTCATGCTCCTTCTTGCTTACGCTTTGATGATAAATTCTTACAAAATAGATCCAAAGGCTCATAAGTTGTGCTTGATTGCAGGTTTGATCAACAAAGTGACAAGATGTCAAATATCGGCTCAAAAGGAGTGAACCTTCACAAGTATCAAAGACAAAGAGAACTCAGGACAAACTAGCCTAGTGCGGCAGCAGTCCATTCTGTGCGGTCCGCACTAGGGAGATTCAGAGAACTGGCAAATCAAGTGTTAAAGCAGTGCGGCCGCAGTGGAGATTGTGCGGTCCGCACTGAAGACTCCGCAGCCGCACTACCATTCTACGCGGTCCACGGAAGCCAACTTCTGAGAGATGTCCAGAGCCTATCATCAAGCCTATGCGGTCCGCGGTCGACTCTGTGCGGACCGCGCTAGCTGCCTCCGCGGCCGCACTACCATTCTACGCGGTCCGCGGAAGCCAACTTCTGAGAGATGTCCAGAGCCTATCATCAAGCCTATACGGTCCGCGGTCGACTCTGTGCGGACCGCGCTAGCTGCCTCCGCGGCCGCGGTCCATTCTGCGCGGTCCGCGGAGCCTGAGTTCAGAGAGCCAAGATTTTAAGTCCAAGAGCCTAGTGCGGCCGCAGTCCATTTTGTGCGGCCCGCACTGACCCCGCAGGGGTATTTTTGTCCAGTTTTTCCAGCTTAGTATAAATAGAACCTTTTTCCATTTTTAGGGTAAGCAGTTAATTTAGAACAGCAGTTGCGCTCGTGAGAAGCTATTTTGTAGCTATTTTGGGAACCTTAGCGTAAATTTAGCAATTGAATCATTATATTTACTTTAGTAATTTAATATTATGTCTTTCTCTTCATCTATTTCTCTGATTTTATCTTCAAGCATGAGTAGTTAAACCCATTAGGGGTGTGGATCAACCCTAGTGTGGGTAATTGATGGGTGTTGTGATTTAAGGTTAGATTGATTATGGGTGTTTGTTATTTGGGTCAATTTTATGGTTTAATTTATGAATTAGTGGTTGCAAACACTAGTTTGTGCTAAGTTGACTTGGCTCTTCTTGAGAAAGGGAGCCTAAGTCTCCAAAATTGACTCAACAAGGAATTGGGACGGACTCAAGAGATTTGATATTCCCAATTAAAGGGTTAAACCTCGAGAGAGTAATTACCCAACTTGAACCCTAGTTGCTCGGGCAAATATGCATACCCAATTGGTCTCTCGAGAGTCAATTGGCCAAAATCACTCTTTCTACCGAGAGGTGTAGAGTGGGTAGTATTGAGTAACGGTTATAACATATTTTCCCAATCATGTCGATCGTGCCTTAGATGCAATTACCCGTCGATTAGCCACCTAGGTGAAGGTCACTACCCTAGTGCCCTTTATACTATTAGATACAACTCGTAGCAATTTACTTTTAGTCTTGTTTAGTTACAATTATAATTTGTAGTTTGGTCATAGTAGAATATATAGAAAAACCAAATATGAATGGAAGATCAATTAAGAGCATACACGCAATCCTAAGCTAAATAGATACTCGACTCCAATCTTAGCTCTCTATGGAATCGATCCTGACCCACAAATCGGGTAAAAGCTATTGCGACCCTCTCTTGCTACTTTTTAGTGGTGCGGAGTTGGCTGTGATCAGATATCTTCATGAGACATGAGAGTACATCCTAGTAAGATGGACTGTCTATGGCGATTGATGCCAACAAATGTAGCACATGGCATATTATATCGATTCACAAGGTAAGTCGTATCAAAGCATATCACATCATGGAATTGCTCATACACCGCCTTACAGTGTGAATTCACCCATATCATATTTCACAGCGTACCAATATTATCAACGTCTATTGAATAGAAAAACTCCCGATCCTTTACTTGTATTTCACGAAAAAATTGATCAATGACTGTGCATCCCCTTCTTGCATTTCAAAATTCCTACTCTTTAAAATAAAATTTCTACAATATTATGGAGTGCAACCTAAATTTTACGGTTCACCACGTTGAACCTCAGCAAGTCTAATATTCTTGGAAGGTCTAATGCCAGATCGATCGTGAGCTACAAGATTCTCCTCAAAGAATCACAAACGGACCTATGTCCCGCCATCAGACGCGATATGGAAGGGAGAGAATCATTATTGTGATCGTGAACGACCTTAGAGACGCGCCAACAACTAGAATCATACAAAATAGCAGTGAACCTAGCTTTACAATTGTTACTCTTGATGGTAAACTTAGTTTTGCGAATCCTAGCCCGATCACAACAGTAAGTTATGTACCTGGCAGTGTCACCACCCTTCTTGTTGGAATTTCTTTTGAAGACAGAGAATCATTTCAATCGTGCATGTTCTTTGTAGAATGCAAACAAAGAATCTTTATCTCTATATCACATTTCAGAGATTGGACCTACAACCATATCCTCTTCAGTGAAATCATTCTCCATTTCCTGATCAACATCATATAACTCTAATTCATTTACTAAAAAATGCTCCCCATCATCGTCAGCTTCTCCATAATATTCTCCATCAGGTTCTTCATCATCATCATTTAAATGCACTGCATTGTTGAAACTGTCATGAGAATCAACATCGACCCATTCGTATTCATTCAACAAACTGTCATCCCTAAAGATCTGTATAAATCGTCCCTAACTCGATCAAACCTATTATATTGGTTCATATTCATGGTTGTTGTATTTGTGTTATGTCCATTTGAATTCATATTTTCTTGCACCGCCAAAATTTCTTGGTTTGAATCCATTTTAGATAAGGAGGAAGTGTCCACTTTGACTTGGTTTGATAAGGAGGAAGTATTGACACTACTAAATCTGGTGAATTCAAATTTTCTTCCTCCTACTAAATCGTATACTGTATTTTTTTTAAATACAATAATTTGCTATACACACTAAATACAATATGATGTAAAGACTTTTTAGCTTCCTCCGTATGTGAACATGGATGATTTCATGCTGCTCAATGCTTGGGAATAGGAAGAAGATCTCTATATTTAATATTCTGTTTTGGAGGGAAAATTGTAGGGCCAAATAAGAACGAGTGTTGCACCCCTTTTTCTCGCGAAATTGGTTTTCGATATGTGACAAATTTTTTAAATGGGTATTAAAAGAGAAGAGTCGCCACCTAACGATTTTAAGGTGCGTTAGGGCACCTAATCGCAAATAACTCTGTTTTAATTAGTCAACGTCACCAAAGATCGGGTAAGGGCTCAAATTACCTTGGAGAGAAAGTGTTAGGCATTCTCCGAGGTCCACAACTGTGGGAGCCAACCGAACTTTAAACTACGTGGATTATGTAATTAGGCTAAATGATCAAAGAAATAAAGAGAGATTAAAAGTTGAAAAGTCTTATTAAAACATATGAGAATAGGTACGAATCTCAATATGACTACAAGACACAATTACATTGATTTATAGTAAACGACTAAGTGTAGATATCAAGTATATAAAGAAAAGGGGGGGGGGGGGAGTCCTAAGTCTTTTAGCCTAAAGGATCACCCCGTGCAACATATATAATACTTCGCAACTTCCTTTAGGTAGGAGTTGCACATATTATTCAGCAGGCACGGACTATCATCTCCTGCTACCCGATTACTATGTTGAAGTTGTTTACCTAAAAGCGTTCTAATTCAATTCTAAGTCGTACTCTATGCGGGAGCTACCCGTCCCATGCCTATGGTCCAGGAGGCTTTGGACCTACTATTTGGGTGGTTCTAGACTTTACTTAGGTTTCTCAAAATGATATAATTAAGCGACATTCAAAACAGATAGGACTTCACGTAAATACAATTAAAGGCCCAAGTTATCCTCCACACATAACTACAAAGGCATGCAAGCATATTTCAGTTTATGCAATAGATAGTTTCAGAATTAAGATGTATTATAGTCATTAAGTCCTATATGCATGGCTTCTAGATGATCCTGATTTTCAGCATTGTACAGGAAACATTGCAGCTTTAAACTAACAGATTTGTATATTGAAGGTGTTACAGGTCCTATCAACATAATCTCTACTTGTTCGTATGAAGAGGCAGTAAGACTATTTGAAAACTTAGAGTTTGCGACATTGATTTAATAAACATGTTGTCTAAGATGAATAACTACATCCTATAGGCAGGATTTCTAACGGTTGATAATTGAAACTGGTTTTATAATACTTTATCCCTATAGGCATGTTTTCTAAGCGGGTGACAATATCCTATAGACAGGATTTCTAATAACTAAGCAGTACAGAAACGGCACGAAGTAGCTGATTAATTATGATACTATAGTCATGGGCAGTACACTAAAGTAATAAAAGCATTTGACCAATTGATTATTTGAAGTCCTATAAGCATAGTATCTAGATTAGTAAGGCATGTGCTATTAAATCCTATAGGCATGTTGTCTAAGTTTGCACAGTAGTAGACATGGAAACAGGTATAGCAAATACTTGAACTAACATGTTTTGAAAAGTTAAGTGATGTGTGTGCGTGACTCTTATAGGCATGCTTTCTACACATAAACTAAAAGGCATGTAAGGTAAATAGCAAATAGCCCACATAGATCCTATAGGTATATTTTCTACCCATTCATGTGAGAATTAAAGTACTCTATCCCCCTTTTACTAATTTCCCCATCTGTTTTGTTTGTAAATTATTACAGGCCCAAAATAATGAATACAAGTGCAAATATTACATATTGAAAGATTACAGGCCTAATAAACAGAGCAGGCCCAAAAGAGAAATAACCTAGTAACACTGGGCCTTCAGCAAGC